AAGTCCAGCCGCAGAGGCCGACGGCCAAGGACTGATTGGTGTCTTGAAAGCGTCCCCAGTTCCTGTCCGTCTGAGTCTCAGGTCCAGTGGTTTCAGGCAGATGGAATTGCTCCCCTTCTTTCCAGACCTCTCTAATCCCTCCTCAGGAGGGGACGAGTCTCAGGCACAGATTGGCCTACCAGCATTAAGGTGCTTTGTGAGCCCTCTTCTTACGAGTTGGTTCCCATGTGGTATTTGTTAGTCACAGCTAATTATGAAGTCCTTGGCCGAGGCACTAGACATTGTTCCTTGGATTCCTCCCCTCTCCCTTTCCCCCTTGCCCCCTGTTGCTACAGAACAAAACCCATTGTGGAGCTCTGGAGGTTGGCTTTGCGCATATTTTCCAGTGAAACCCTGACAGGCTCAGTGCTGGGGTCTCATGTTTCAAACTGAACTGGGTAGAGCATTATCTGAGACACTGGCAGAGCCCGCCTGTGTTCAGAGCAGACTTTTCTCCCACAATGCACGGGGCCTCTCACAGGCAGGCAATTTGGACAGTTCGCTGAGAATAATTCACAGCATTACTCAGAACCGGGGTGATCTGCACAGAACGGCAGACTATTACGAGCTTTATGCCATAGGAAGTTCAAGTGCCAGGTGTTGCCAACTGCCTTGGTGGCACAGGTTAGGAGGGAGGAGCAAGGCTGCAGAGACTGAGCTGCCCTTTGGTCTGTCTGTCCTGCTCCCTGGGCCGAGGGCCTCAGTGTTAGCCTGCTCGGTGTACTAGGCCCCCGCAGAAAATGTCCACATCCTAAAAGCAGTCTTGAAGCCCATAACCAAGTCCCTCACTTCCCATTCCTCAGATGAAGAGAGGTCTCTGAGGGGCCTTCCCTTACAGGAGCTCCACAGCAGCAAGTGAATGAGGACAGAATGAGCACCAGGTCTCCTGACTTATGGAGGCCCCACTGCGGACAGAATGAGCACCAGGTCTCCTGACTTATGGAGGCCCCATCTCTTTTCTCAGCCAGGCTGGTTCTGGATGCCAGCAGCAGGCTGCTTCTCTCCCTGGCTTACTGCCACTGTCTTTATGGGAAGACCTCACTGCAGGAGACAGAGAACTGTCAGACCCAGAGTGGCCATATCACACTGTTTTCTCTAAGAGCCACCTTGAAATCCCATGCCGTCCTCTGGAATCACAGTGTTCAGACTAGTAGACTGATGTCACAGTCATTCATGTTTGCATTACATGTGTGAGACCCCACATTAAAATCAGGTCAGAGGGCTTTTGTCACTATCGTTCAAAGGAAGGCCTTTGGAGTTGGCCCATCTGGGGACACATGGTAGCTACAAATACTAGTTCTGGGAATGTGGACAAACTACTATCACTAATGTCATGCTTCTACCTAAATATAGAATGATAATACATGGTTAAGGAGTGCTAAGAGGAATTAAAGCCAATAATCTAGATAAAGGCTCTGTATAAAATACATCAGGGCCTTGATAAATGTTCCTGTCACCATAACTTAACCACTCACTGTCATACACACAACAGGCTTGAGTTCAAATAAAAGCCAGACATGTTAAAACTTTGTCCTTAACTTGGACCCTTCTGCATTCTGTCACAAGCTTAACATCAACCAAATGCAGTTTGGGTTATCCAGAGACCATGAGTTCAGGCTTGTCTTTCCCTGGAAACTTACAAAACTGAGCACTTCCTGGGAACAGGATAGGTGTGACTATGGGCTTCTAAGAGAAGAATTTACCAATGGGTCAATGGGTCATTGGAAAGTCTGAAAAAATTAACTGCTTTTCCTTTGACTCTGAAAATCCCTATGGTGTCCTGGGGACTCAAAGCTGACTGTTCTCAACAAAATCAGAGTCCCTCGCTATCCCCACAACTTGGGTGTGCTTGGGACTTTTTCAAACTTTTCTCTATTTTCCATGCCAATAAGAACCAAAGGCCCAGAAGCTTGTTTTTAGAATTTAGGAAAGCAGATGTTTTTGCTTATTTTTCTTTCTTCTCTCTTCTGCCAAAATGCTAAGTTTTCATTGGTTTCTGTAGTTGTTTTTCTGTTTTTTGTTTTTTGTTTTGTTTTAAGACACATCACAGAGGAGGGTCATTGTAAAGGGAGGAAGAGTAGGCATTTCCAAGCTGTGGGGCTCTTTTTCTAAAACCTGAATGAAACATGGAAGAACCTGATGACCGACATGCTAGAGGACAAGTGAGAACAAGACCCATGGATTCCTTTCTGGAAGAGTCTCAGGCTTTCTTCCCAGACCTGAGGTCTGGGGCTGCCCAGCTAAGCAGGACTAGGGCAGTGACTATTATTTTTTCAAAGAATTCTGAAAGTTAGCAGGACAGGCTGTGTCAATGGAGCATATGCTGCATACCAAGTGAGGCCCAGCACTACTCACGGGTCCTATAGTTCCCAGCCTGCTAAAACATGGTCGACAGTGATTAGTTCCTATTTGGACTTTAGCCAGTCAATGGGCGTTAGTATCAACACACAAACAAAATTGTCATATAGGTGTGCTGGTCAGAAGTCTGACTAGTCCTATGAACTAAAACATAGCTGTGAAATGGCTGCATTTCTTTTGAGAGTTTCCAGGCTAGCCTGGACATGGCTCTGTAAAACAGACTAGCCTCTATTTCAGGAATCTGCCTACCTCTGCCTCCTAAATTCTGGGATTAAAGGAATATGCCATCACACCCCACCAACAATTCACTTTTTTATGTTTAGGTTATCTAGCTTTTCAAAGTCACCCACTACTCCTAGCCACCTAGTCCTCTTCCTCCATCTTCAAAGACTCAACATGAAGTTGAGTCTTTCCTCATTGCTCTACTCATGACAACTCTACTGTCCTTTCTTCCGCTGTTAAAGGCCTTGGTGGGTCACACTGGACCACCCATCTGTGTAATCCAGGATTATATCCCTATTTTAAGGGACGCAATCCTTCAGTGACCCTTGCCTTGTAAGGAGATAAAGTCACAGGTTCTAGTTTTAGAATACAGATATTTTAGCAGGGAGCACTATTGTTCACAACAGATTCGTGGGTCATTATTATATGGATACAGTGGTTGTATGTAGTAGACCTTTAGGTTATTAGAAATGGAACTTGATACAAGCTGATGAAAAGAAGGGAGTCTTGTTGGTTCATACACTTGAAAGGAGGAGTTTTCTTGGTCTGACACAGCTGAATCCCTGTGTCTAAGGACATCATCAAAGCCCTCTCTTTCTTGTCTTGGGTTACTTTGGTGGTCAGTTGATTCCCATGCAGAGACTGTCTAGAGGACAGCTGATGTAGCTCCCAGCCAATTCCAGGGCTGCACAATTCTTGAGACTTGAGATTCCAGAGAGGAAACATGACCTTCTCTTTAGCAGTGCTAACAAAATCCTGGGGATGACACTCAGTTGCCCAGCTTGGGCCATGTGTACACTTGGAAGTGAATCACAAGTAAGTGGCAAAAATGCAAGTTACTTCATGCAGGATCTGGAGTGGAGTAAGCCTTACCAGAAACACATGTATTATATCAGGGAGGGGAGTAACTTACCTAAGAAAATACAACATTGTCACCAGAAGAATGAAAGAGCTGGTATGGCGAAACAGCAGGTGTCTACTCCATCATACTGTAGCTTGATTCCTGAACCATGAAATGGAGAAAGCATTTGGCTTTCAGCCACAGGCAAACTTGAAAAAGCCCAGAAGTGCTTCGTCTAAGGCAAGTAATTTAATTCAGGTAGCATAGAGGAAAAAGAATTGGCATTATGGTTAAATTCATTGGTGTTGGTACCAGATTGCCTTGGTTTAGGTTTAGCTAGTTTTATCATTTGTAAAACAGGGATGATAATCTCAGGAGGGTTAAAGCTTGTGAGGTTGAAGTGTGTGAAAAAAAATGCTTAGACTAGGACCCTGACAATGTAAAAACACCTGATGAACAATGGCTGTCTTGAGTGTTATTCTCATTTTATTACCACATTGATAGGCATAAGCTCCAGGAAGATGGTGTGTCCACTTGGAAAGAGGGTAGGAAGTAAATAAGGTACTTTATTGGGTTCCTCTTTCTAGCTGGAGGCAGTCTTTTCTTCCTTGAACTTTCCATCTTCCCCACAGTGGGAGGTTGAGGTTGTCACCTGAAATGTGGGCTTTGACATGGTAACAACGGTCATCTTTCTGTCCCAGATCACCAAGTGAATGTTCTGTCAATGTTTCTAAATTTGAATTCTAAAGATAATCCTGTTCATTTGGCCAGGGATTGTCTTCAAATAAGAGCCCAATCATCGACTATGACTTGCAGTGGGCGGGTTAAGCTGGAAGGGGAAGTTCAGCACCAGCAGAAAATTGACCATTTTATCTTTTGCAAGTGTGCTGAGCAAATTGGAATTTGCCTATGGAACAAAGCAGTCATTTTCAGAGAACACTGTTCAGCTTGGATGTTTTGGATGAGTATAATCAGAAATGCTTTATAGAAGCACCTTAGGCCTGCAGGATTTTTCGTTCTCTCACTAATAAACAGGACGTTTGTAAACAAGGCAGTGTTGAGGCCAAACCGACAGACAGATACCCCATTCCTTTGCTTATATTTCCTCGATCTTAGAGCCACATTCATGAAGCAGAAACTCAGGAAGATGCTCATAGGTGCTGTGGGAGGCAGATTCCAGAGGGACCAGGGATGTTCCCAGAGTCTTCTCTTTGGTGGCAGGAAGAGCTTTGGTAACCCCTTTTGCTTATCAGAACCCACAGACTGTTCTCAGCAGCTTCCATCCAGACTCTTCAGGACATTTCAGCAGTTTCCACGGTCAAGGCTCCTGTGCCCCTTTTTAGTTAAACAATTCATAGGCTCCATGCCTGCTTTCAGATGGCTTGGTTTTGAAGCAGTCAACAGAAAAGCAGCCTGCTGCCAGGGCCAACCATCAAAAGAGAAAAGAGAGCATTGCAAGCCGTGGGTGGATGTGCGTGAGAAATATGACAGTGCAGATGCTCCTTCTGGTGGCCTGACCGTATGCGTTATCTCCCCCAAGGACCCCGTGGTTTAATGGATGGGGCTTTAACCTACCCAGAGGCCAGTCTCTGCTGGACAAATGGAACCTCATCCCTGAGGGCATCGACATACTCATGACACATGGACCTCCTTTAGGTAAGTGGGGTGAAGGTTATCCTTTGTCATTCAAAATGCTCCCCTCCCCCAGCATAATGAATAATTCTTTGGGGACATAGTAATTTTCCTTCAGGGGGAAAAAACAGTGAATGCAAAAAGGAAAGTCAATGCCTTTAAAGAAGCCCAGTACGGTATTAACCTTAGCAATTCTGCTAGGCTTACAGGTGTTGATGATTTTTTAGTCGATCAATGAGCATAGAAAACCACAGTCTTTTAAGCTTGGTAATTTATTTTAAGAACTGTGTTCCCTTCACAGTGAAGGGGTAGGATGGGACACGAAAGAAGACAGAGACCTACCAATCACAGGCGTTTGAATGGCAGTGAAATGAAAGGAACTGTTGTTCAAAGGAACTCGTTTTCCTTTCACACATAGCATCGGGCCTGGGGTATCTTTAAAGTTTAACATTTGAGCTGATTATACGAGAAGAAAAGTTTTTTTAAAGATGAAGTATTTTCAATAAGGACTTGCCCTGCATATTACTTATGGGTGTGTGTTCTCCGAGCATATCGTGACGGTATCCCGATTTATACTATCTCTGGTGTTAAAGCTACTCCCCTAGTGATGCATACTGTCAGAAGATGGTATTTGAAGATGGTATTGAAGAAATTAGATCCTAATTATTCATGAGCGTGTCATTGGTTTGGCTTGCTACGGAACATTTTCAACCAGACCCCACAACCCTGATCTCACCATCCTCTGGCTACGGATAATGTCAGGACACCCTCTGTCCAGCTAAAGCATGCTCAGAAAATTCAAACATTTCACTTTTTAAATACAAATGTTGATACTTATTGATTTATTTTTATGGGGGCATCTCTTTGATATTTGTTAGTATAATGCCTTGTATTAACAGTTTCCTCTGTCATACTGAGTTGAAGGAGAGGCACAATGTGGGTATAAGTGACTTTCATGATTTTTGTTACCTTGTTACACATGGCCCTTACCTCTTCTATCAGCCTGCGGAATCAAACATTCCTGATGCATATTTAACCTTTGTACATGCCTCTGTTAAGAGCCACTGTGCTGTTTTCCTTCCCCTGGGGTGGAGGTTGGGGGGCAGGGGAGGAGCTCCGAGTTTCCTGAGGGAGAATAGAGGCTGGGGCCATGGGGCCACAAGTTAGTGAGGGGGAAGAGGCGAAGGGAGGCTAGTTCTGAGTGGACACATGACTTCACCATGCCTGTGTCGCTCTCTGGCGCACTTCACCTCATCCTGTACCCTCCAAGACTGTATTTGCCAATGATCCTAATCAAATCATTGTCAATTTATTTCCTGATTTAGACTAATTTAATCATTAAATTGCTAATGAAATGTTTTGACTAGCATGACTTACTTACCCAGCAAGAGTGCCTTTGTAGGGATAGCATTCCAGCCAGGTTGGTTCCCCTACCAGAGCAGCCTGGGTGGGCACAGTTTGTTGATAGGGTCTTGGATAGCTGTAGCCTGGTTAGGTGTAGTTCATGGTGAGGGTCTTGGGTTACAGACAGCACAAAAAAACGTCCCCATCACTGAAACATTCCATAGATTGCGACTTCAAACAGAACGACCAGTTCACAACCAAGTCATTCATTTCTTCATGAAGCAAGTGGTAGTAACAGCTAAGTCTCAACACTAGATTCTGAAGAATCCCGACATCCTGGTTACTCTTCCAGCAGAGGCTACGGTCGCTCTTTTTGTAGTAAAAATAAAAGTGAGGTAATCCAGGCTGCACATGTATCAGAGGGATGTCCACACCCAGAAGCTTCATAAGAAGCCAGTAAAGGTTTCACAATGTAAGGACAAACTTTAAGACTGGAATTCTTTGGCAAATGCTGTGCTGGGGGCCGGGGGTTGGGGGGATGGAGAGTTTGAATTCTTCACTTCTCAGTGTGAAGGAAACTGTAGGTGTTATTTACTCTCTACCATTATAGTCTCAACAAGATGATATCTGAGGTGCTTCTATACACAGCGAGGTATTTTTCCTTCTTTAAGAAAATGCATCTATGAGGTAATAATGATAATCACTGTGGATTCACAGTTTTTCCCTTAATAGTTTTAAAGGCCCTAGTTGGATGTTTGTTAGGCACTCCACTTTTATCTGGGCGCTTCCCGTACCCCAGCTAGCCTGTCTTTACAGAGACTAAATATTCATGCTTACTGCCTATCCAAACAGAACAAAATCTGTCCCTTCCTGGCCAGCCATTTCTAACAGTAGACAGTACCTAATGGGACTGTGGAATGGATTCCCACAGATTATGATTTAGCCTTTCATCCCACCTGCCTTCCTTAGACCCCATCCTGCTGAGGTGTATGGATTTCATTTTAGACCATAATCATCTGGATAGCTGACTTTTGTTATAATTGATGTCAGTTTTTTTATAGATTTTTCTGCATTAAGGAAAGGACTAAGTGGCTTTTACTTTAAAACTAGTCAATTAGCCCAAGCTTGCTGGATGCCACCGTGAGGTCATGTTGTCTGTTGTTACAGAGGAATGGAGAAGCAACTGAGTATTCCAGATCTCTGGTTCTCAGGAACCCCAAGGCTTAAGAGTGGCCCCTCTAGGCAGAAAAGGCACCCTGTGGTCAGCTCCCAGGCAACTCTTCCACATCCCCTATCTGTGAATCATCCCGGGAGCAAACTGGTGTACCTAATATAAGAAAGAATTTTGAAAAGAGAAAGCAACAGAATAGAGGCGGAAAGAGCTATTATGGCTGCCGGGAATAAGTGTCATTGATCTCATGAAGAAGATCTGAAACCTGTGGCTGAATAAATCACAGTTCTTGCAGGAAAAGAATGTTAATTAACTGGAAAGGGGGGAAAAGTGGAAACCAAAAAAAAAATTAATCAAGAATCCAAAGAAGACAAAGTGATGAGTGAAAGTTCCTTAAAAGCCATTGTGAGCTTTAATGGGGAGGCTAGGATTACAGATAACACAATAAACCTTCTGTGAGTTATGGCTTCCTGAAAGTCAAAATGAAACCTTACCTGAAGAAGGAAAATTAAGAGTATTGATTGAATTCTATCCTTAGGTTTCCGGGACTGGGTTCCAAAGGAGCTTCAAAGGGTTGGCTGTGTGGAGCTCTTAAACACAGTCCAGAGGCGAGTTCGGCCCAAGCTCCATGTGTTCGGTGGAATTCATGAAGGTAAGAACACAGACAATGTGCCATTATCCATGATCTCACAGTCTCCACCAGGCAGCATCAGATAGACAGAATGATGGGAACAATGGTTCTCAAACTTTTTTTCAAAGGAACCCCTTTTATGAGATAAAACCTCAGGAGAAAAGCTCATGTGTGTAAAACTGATGGTTTGTATTGCTGTCTTTTAAGTGGAAAGGCAAGTAGGAACCCTATGTGACTTACTTTACCACAAAGCCCCCACTGCCTGCCAGACAGCACTGAAACCTAAGGGCTCCAAAGAGAAATAATAGCAACTGCTGTAGCACCAATAAAACCAACTTTCCTGCTCAAGGGGATAGACGAGATGCTGTCAAGATTAGACACTACCTAAAGCATCTATAGCCCTTGCGGGGTCATGCATGCCAAGCACAGAAAGACAGGAACACGAGGGGTTCCCTGCAGGGTTACTGTGGACATGCAAGGAACAGTTCCTAACAGATGTGGAAGGAGCCTTCACGACTTTGAATTTTGTCTGCCTTTTTCAAACAGATGTCACCCGGCTTTTGTAGACAAACAGAGTATTCTGTCAGCTGATATTGGGGTCTCAGAACCTACGAGACTGGCCCAGGCATGCGTATTTATGTACAGCAGAAGCATCTATGAGGGCAGCTGCCATGTGTCCCAGCCCTCGGTCACTGTGGCTCTCTAGGGTTATTTATGAATGTCACAGTCGAGTTGAAGTGTGTGAGGCTGTGTGCTTGGTGAGACAGAGTTCAGTTTACTCCGACGAGTCCACAGGCACAGAGGCTTCCTGGTTAGGTGGGTAATAAAGAGCATATTGAAAAACCATCCTACTAGGGCCAGAGAAAATTCAGTTGCTCCAAGTGCAGGCAGGCACTAGCTGAATGGCTGGAAAGCAGAGGTGCCCAGAGCTCCTGGGTAGGAGGCAGTGTGTGGCGCGGGGGAGGGGTGGATTTCAGTCTGTCCTGCACTTCTCTAGAAGGGGAGAACCTCAAGGAGATGATGGGACTAACTATCTAAACTCCATTTCCCGGGAGGGAGTAGGGGTGCTATTATCTTGAAAACTAGTTTGAATTCCTGTGGGATTCCTTTGAATTTGCATTTCACCCTTAAAAAAAAAAGTTTAAGTCATTCATTTACCTTAAACACGCCAGACTATTGGAGAATTCCACTGAAGCCCCACAATAATAAACTTGCTTTAAAGGGGAGCGATCATATTCAAATAAACTTGTCTTGCTTTTATTCACTTAAGACAGCTAAAGAGGGCAGTGAGAGGGCAAATACCAGCCTCTTGATGGAGAGAGATAACAAGACTTTATGACCCCGGAACCAAACAGTGCACATTTTAAATGCAGCTTTTTCTTTTCTTAAGAGATTTTTCCATTGACCCTCATTAAGCTCTCTGCAGGCTTACTTGGAAAATTTTTAGCAAATGGAGCAGGGGGAGGGAGGAGGGATAAGAACCTTATCTGTAATTTCTGTATGTCCTGGTCATTTTATTTCTCCATGGCTGGCTGTATTGTTATATGCCTTGGAGTCCAATGTGAACATAGAATTACAGACTGGTTGCAAAAGCAGTAAGGTGTCCGGGGAAATGTCTAAGAAGCCTAAAAATGTCACATGTTAAAAATGACCAAAGGAGTCTGCATGCCAGTAGATGGTTTGTGCTGCAGATAGGGGTGCTTTCCTTCCGTGCACTTTCAGGGTACATTGAGGAACCGGGGTCCTGTCATGATGTTCCTACCTACCATGATTGAAGAAGCCATGCTTTTGAGTGAAATGGAACTTAGCCACATAACTCAAGGTAGAAGTCACTTAGGGATAATTGAGACCGCACTCTAGTGATGAGGAAGAAGACATCCACACCTGAGTTCTTGTCCTCCTCCTCCCCTGCCCCAAAGCGCACTTGGAGCCCACTTGTGTTCTTGGACTGCTCGCTGCCTTCTCAGCAATTCAGTAGTTGATGCGGGTTTTGAAATGAAAATGATACTTTAAAGGTGAAGGGGTTCTTTACTTTATTCTCAGTCTTACAGGTGTCACATCCTTCCCCCGACCGGTACAAGGTTTAAGCAAAGGGACACGGGGAAGAACCACTGTTGTTGAAGGATAGAAATCTTCCCTTTTAAAGAAAGTAGCAAAATCGGACAGAAGCTCCGGAAACCTGTGTCTCTGGGAAGGTCCACTGAATTTCATCTCCCTGCCCTCTGATGACGATTCTGTCATGCTCCCCGAGTGACACCCCTGTGTGCAGCCGTTGTCATTTGCATATATTACAGTAACGGTGACACTGTCTTTCTACAGGGTACGGCATCATGACCGACGGGTACACCACCTACATCAATGCCGCAACCTGTACAGTCAGCTTTCAACCGACCAACCCTCCAGTTATTTTTGACCTTCCAAACCCGCAAGGCTCCTAAAGCTCTCAGCATCCTATTGGAATGTGAGGGACGGTCTACAAACTGCCATTTTTCTAATTATAAACTTACATCCTCTGACTTGTTTATTTTCAAATCCTGTGCGTTCTTTTTGTAAATTGTTGGAACAGGAAAAAACAAACAAACAAACAAACAAGCCGATGCTAGAGTTGCGCCGCCTCTTTTTGCTTTTTAAGTGGGGTATCCATTTGAAATCAAAGGAACATTGTGAATTTGTAAAATGACTTCTGTTTGCTCAAAGGCCACGCCATTGTAAAGTGTTAGTGTTTGCCAAAGGACAGCCAAACTTTCTTTAAAAAATGATTTTAAAAAGTCTTATTTGAATATGCTTTAAGCTGAGAGAAAAAGATTTAAAAAGAAAGAAACACATAGCAGTGTTTTGAAAACCACCCAGATTTGCACAACTCTTTGAGTACTGTTTGATGTGTTTTGTTGTTGTTTTCTTGGTGTTATTTCATTTTTATTTTGCAGATGTGGCTCCGATTTAGAGCAAGCTACACAGAAGTAGGTCTGGAAAAAAACCTTAACTTCATGCTGGCTGTAAAGAAGACTGTGCCCAAGGTGGGGGACAGTCCTCATTCACAGGCTTAGCCAGAGAGGTCCATGTCATGGCTATACACACTCTCATTGTTCGTTTCTTTCTTTTAAATTATTTGAGCTTTAAAAATATGGAAGCAAGAATCTGTCAAGAGCAGATATTCATGCAAGGAAAAGAGTGTGCAGACTCCTTTTCAACGTGGACTTATATATGTATAAATATTTTTGTGCATTATGACTAAGTTAGGAGTTTAATATTGCCATGGACAGTACAACTGCAAAGCAGGGCTATGCGGCAGCGCATCAGAAGTCCGAAGGAACTGACCCGTCCTTTCTCTGAACGCAAGGTCTTAAAGAGCTTGAGTTCAGTCTAGGTACAGTAACCAGTGTGTACAGACTTCAGCGGATGCATTGGAAGCGAACTAAACAAGGCTTAGTCGTCCTTTCTATTTAAATGCCCTGCGTTGTCTTCTCACTTCCTCCTCCCCCTCCCATTTTGCACTGTGTGTTGATGCAATCTTCGCTAGCACAAAATGCTGTCGCTAATAATCTTTCTGTTCTCTCATTGTCAATGCCATTGAGCTCTATTCTATTTTATGTTACCTTAAAATTTAGGAAAGCAGTTGTTTTCTTTAAATTTATTGTGATATTCTATATCTAGCGGCCTTTATATGCAAATAAAATTGCAAGATTTTTAAATCTGTGCTGAGTGGTTGGGCTATCTGGGGAAGGATGGTAGATTTGTCCCAGAGAAAGGAAGATTTATTTACATGCAATTTAAGTAATCCCCTCTGAACCATTAGAATAGTGTGGGGGGGGTCTGATTTTCAATAAATGTTTATGGCCTGCCAATCAATCACAGGCCAGCAGGTACATCGATAAGGCACTGACAGTACTGGCTCTTTGCAGCACACTGTCATCTGTCTTGCCTTAGGTTTGAGAGGGTGCAGCTTCTATCTTTGGCCATTGTAATGTCTGAAGAACAGAGACTATCAAGGCTGTGACTGCTGTTGTGGGACCTGTGAGTGGTATTGAGTAGGGGAAACCATAGAGGACAGGGAACCCCCTCACTGAACATTCTCATTTGTCCTCATGAGTTGTCACCACCCCCGAAGCCACCATCCTCCCCTGACACACACTGTTTTGTTGTTGTTTTAATGATTCCACTAACATGTTCTGTCAAAGAGAAGAGAGGGCCAGTGGTGGGATGTGAGAATTATGTGTACCTCTTTTATTTTGTCTAGAAGAACCGCTGAAGAGAAGCAATAGAATCTTGCTATTATGGTTGCTTGTGGGGGTTTTATTTGACAGCAGAAGGTTTTTGTTTTGTTTTGTTTGTTATTGTTGTTGTTGTTTTGATTTTTCTGACTCGGTCTCATGTAGCCCAGCCTGGCTTAGAAATCTCTGTAACAGAGGATGACATTGAACACTTGATCCTCCTATCTCCAGCCTCTAACTGCTGGCTTTACAAGTGTGCACCACCATGCCCAGCAGCAATAACATCTTACATCTGCACCGCGTCTGTGGACTGCTTGCCATTCTGTCTACTCATTGTGGTTCCATTGATGCAATTCATGGATAAACTCTTGGTTTCAGCACCGTTCTTAGAATGGCATTACAAATTCTCATAAGCATTTTAGTTGTATCCTATAGGCTTGTCACTTTCTCATCTGAGACTGTATAACAGGTGCATGGGCTTCCCAACCAGAGGAGTTTATGACTACGGTAGCTATGATGGATGAGATGGAGTCCTGAGAGAAGGTGGAATTCCTCCCTTAATCTGCTGACTTGGTGTGAGGATCATTGCCTTCCACCCCTTCCTAGGGGATGGACAGAGAAGCAGTGTATGGAACAGACATCTTACCTGGCACCTAACCAGGACATGGGCTCTGACATCTCTAAAAGGCAAAGGAAGATCTCCAGGAGTAGTGGATGATGCCAAGGACACGTGTGGTCCTTGAGAGCACATTTGGACACCAACTAATTAAGCAAAACACTTGCTAAAAATTGCCTTTCACTGTGCACTAGTATAAATGACACATTTTGCTGTGTCTAGAGCATTCGACTGACTGTCCACAGGGATTCCTGCTACCAGCCCACACTCTGCATGCATGAACTGCTTCCGGAGTGTCCATGATGACTATCCTAAAGTCTTCTCTTTTGACCCTTATAACAGTGAATCCTACAAAAATGGTGGTTACAAATCTAGCACTTTCTGTTCCATTACCAGACAATCTGTTGAATAGGTTTCATATTTTATCTTCTTCCTTGAATCCCAAGCATTCATAAGCCACAGTTTAGAGGAAAGCAACACCACTGACAACAGAATTGCTTCCCTTAGGACAATGGAATGTTTTAAGATAGGTCTATCTGAGTCCATAGCAACGCCCTTTCTGTTACTCTGCCTCTGGACCAGAAAAACTAATTCCTAAGAGCTAACAGGAAATTGGAGGGCCTGGGACATTACCTGTTCCCCGTGTAAGAGCTTGCTGAAGCACCTAGCAAAATGGTTTGATGGCAATATCAAGATGGACCATTTCCTCCGTGCTTGGGCCAGGACACTGCAATGGTCTTGAAGCTTCCAAGCCATCCCAAATCCTCTTGGACTAACAACAATGTCTTCAGCAAGAAGCCATGTAATGTGACCTCTGACTTGGAGATCTCTGTCTGGTGTCCAGGAAACAGTGTGTGTTTGTTCGGTTTGGTCACCCTGTCCTGTCTCAAGATTCTCCAGGCAGGATTCTGTCTGTTGACCCTTAACCCCAGAGAGGTCCAGTGGCCTTGTGTCTGAGGAGCTATGTTGGTGTTCATGCTTTGTGAACCATAACCAACTCCCTTTTTTAAAAATATGGGCTTTTATGAGAAGCAGACTAGCGAGCCTGACTTTCTAGCTTGGATGTCAAACCTTACAAAGTCTCTCTAATCTCTGATTAGAGACAGGGGGCTGAGTAACAAGTTGCTAACATGACTCACGTGGGTCTGCCGTCTCTGGCGTATCTCTCTCCCCTTGAATCTCTCACCATTTCCTTCCAGCTCTGTTTGTGAATGAGTTGCCCTTGTGTCACATTATTTTGTCTTACAAAGATGATAGGAGCCTGCTGAAATCCCTTTCAGGGACAGGTCAGTGTTACTCTGACAGATGGCTGGCATTACATCTGCCTTCATCTCTATTGTGTAAGTAACTAAGGTTGTGAACCAGGTCAGCGGGGAGGATGTGGGGTTTGTCAATTGCAGGTAAAACATTTGGTATGTCTGAGAATGATGGCACCGCCCGCCCCCATGTCCCTTTAAAGTGTGTGGCTCTGGTGAACCAGGGACACCCCATTTGTTTGCTTCCCTGTGTCTTTTCCTGTCCTAGTCCCATTTATGCTGAACAACAGTGAACTGAGACATCCTTTAGACTGAGGCATTTTGCACACAGCTGTATCTGGGTAGGGAGGCTCTTGGTTCAGAAGTCCTTTTGTGAGCTTTCATACAAAGATTCAGACTTATAGCTAAAAATTACCTTTAAGATAGAATGTTTTTTTTTCTCCTACTTTATAACCATTAGCGAAATTGGTGAGTGTGTGTGAGCTATAGAACTCAGCTCTTCTGCAAATTCCCAATCATTTCCCTCTCTTTTTACACATCTGCCTTACTTCTCCAGAAGAAGAAAATAAATCATTACCAAAGCCCAGTGAGAAGCCCCACTACTTAGTATCTATGTACAGTTCACCTCTGCAAATCATACCAGGTTCACAGAGGGCTACTGGCCCTCACCATTGTCACACAGCTAATCAAAGATAGAGTCTCCATTGATATTGGACTCAATGTTGAACGATTTTCAACTTGACATTTGGGCATAATCAGGATGGTGAGGTCAGCTTTGGCCAGAGTAGGATTTTGTAATAAAGAATCATTTGACAGTGAAGGACAAACTAGGTGATTTCAAAGAACCCTCAGAGAAGGCCGTCTGGGTGTTCCCCAGAGGTGAGCGTTCCCTCTGTCCACCCAGGCTGCTTGTGGCAACTCTGAAAATAGCCAGTTCCTCTTAGTCAGGAGAGAGATGAATACATGGTTTCTGTCCTGTGTACATCAGAACACAGTTAGCTCTATCATATGCGGTGACATTCACATGCATATGTGTGCAAGTTCCAGAACCTGCTGGATTGTGGTAAGATGTTCACCCTGAAACACGCTGATGCCATGCTTCTCTTCCCCAGCCCCAGATCCCACCCTATAGAATGGGTATAATTCATCCCTTACCACACACTTCTCAGACATGAGACCTTCCGGAACCTGTGAGGAGTATTTACTTCACTCCTCATAATTTTAAAAGCAAATTTGTTTTTTAAGGGAGGTGAGAATCCCACCATTCAGCTTACTTTCTGGTACTCACAGCCCTTCAGAGTAGAAAGCTAATCCTTGAGTCTGCTTGGCATGTTCAGTTGTAAAAACCCACATTAGCAGCCTGAATTGAGCTTTTTAAATTCTGACTCTTCTTTGAACTGTCTGACAAAACAATGCGGTAGGTTTTCCCTGACTCCTGTTTCTTCTAGGATAAGGAATGCCTTGCAAGAGAAAACTCCTGAGGTAAGGGCTCTTTCCTGTCCCAGAGCATCTGTATCTGGGTGATGGTGAGAATGGAATGCATTTTCATCAGGAGGCGTGGCCACAGTGGCACTCAAAGCTGGGACAGACTAAACACACGAGGGCGGCATGTCTCCACCCCATCAATCAGCTTTGGTTTTTATGGAACCACGGTCACCGTGAGGCGCATCTGAACACTCTCCGCGCCTGTTCACCAGGAGAAAGGATCTCTGATTTCATGGTCCATTTCTGCCTCCATGTTAATGATGACCCCGGAGACAGGTTGAGATTTTCAGAAGAAGCTCCTAAATAGCAGGTGTTCTGGACCACAAGTCTTCCATGCTTAGGCTCACCAACATGCACTTGCTCTGGTCCCCTATCATGCTTTCTGACGGCTACTTAATTCTTCCCAAAACTTGCATTTTCTTGTTGCTTCCCTCAGCTTCCTCTGTCTCTTTGATGCTGCATGGCTGCCTACACATCCGTCAATCTGTGTCACTTTGGGTGTTGCTTGTGTGCCCATGGGCTGAGTCCAGAGGCCATTCTTCCTATATGTGTTTCTAACTCCTCCACTCAAGGAGATGGTTTCTTAAAGTCATCCGTTTGACAAACAATAGCTCAGCATGTGAGAGAGATGGGCAAAATTAGTCGCAGGTGAAATCCACTAATATACTGACCACTGTAAACCAAGTCATATGCTGGTAAGGTTTATTTGTAAGACCAGGCTTGCTTCAGAAGAATCTTATAATTAGGTGGAGAGAATAAGCTATTGCCACGTGAAGGTGAACAACAAGAAAAGGGTTGAATCACAGATCAAGACAATGAAGGAAAACCAGGGTTGGTCAGATGGAGGCTTTTCAGTTGCGGGAGTGTCTATAGAGAAGTACAAGGTGAAGGTCCCAGTCTCAGACAGACATAAGCAGCTAACGCAAAGAAGGGATTCTGTGATAGTGACAATGTCAGTCTTAATGCAGCTTCCTTCCAGGAGGAGAAAAGGCAGCATGGCCAGTGGCAACTCCAAGTGTGTCACGTAGCTGGTTTGTTTTCTTAATTTACTCTATGAAATGGCTTTCTCTAATGGCATGCCATTGACGAAATGCACCATAATGTCCCCATCCATCACCTCCAAATGCTTTTGCATGCATCAGTTGTTGACTTGTTTTCTCCCGTTCAGCACATAAATGAGAGGAATGATTTATCCAAGGCCACCAGTTACTTTTATATGGAATCTGAAATAGCTCTCTGGAGAAATACTGCCCTGAGTGCTTCTGTCTTTGTGCTGCTCTGAGCTCCTACTACAAGGTGTCTTTGGCCAGGGATTGTACTGGTACCCTCCTGATGACTGTTTCTAGGGAATCTGGTCCAGATGTCCACCCATTTTGACTATGACTCCTGGACATGAGAGGTGACATTTGGTAAGTGTGACCATGAGTATGGAGTGTGGAAATCGGGGCATTGGCCTTTGTTGTTGTGGGTAAACGTTTATTGAGCCATCAGATGTCTCCCTGCCACCACCCATGCTCCAACCTTTTCTAAAGTCACATTCACCACATATATAAATGAGTACATTTATTTTGTTCACTTGCCAACCTGCTTATTTGACCTCTGTCTCCCCCATGGTGGCGATATCTAGCTTCTTGTCCCTCAGGATTTTACAAAGATCAATAGTGAATGATTAATTAATTCATTCTTGCCAGCTAAAGGGCCTTTGAGGGGGTCAGAGTATGGTACCTCTAAGCAGGACCTAGTACTGTTTCAGATACAAGAAGGAAACAGTTTACTAGATTTTTGTCTCTTCAGATGATGATGATAGTGGACATAAATGGGTCAAAGCATCAAATGACAGAGATCTGCACCATTAAACACAACACTCCTGTCTGTAGCATTAATTTAGTGGAGCAATTCTTAAAGTGCCATGTTTACTTTCTCAGTTCGTGTCTCAAAAATTTGTAAAATGTAATTTGGACAATTTCATCTGAGAATATTTGTTGAAATCAGCTGTGTAGGAACATGAGAGATAAATATGCATCACATGGCTTTGCATTAATGTGTTTTTGGAAGGTATACATGCTTTCATCAATAATGTGATGCCCAGTGTATAACACATTTACCCCTTAATAAAACTGAAATAAAGTGTTCAGCAGGTAAGAACTTTCTTACACTGTTTTCTAAAGGGCTGAATGACCAGCATTAAAAATATCAGGACACTAGTCCCAGTGGGAACCATACACTAGTTTCATATTTTTAAGATGTAGAAACTATGGCATATTGGCATTACATTCTTCTCTTGAATTTTTTGTTGTTTAATGTGTTATCTTCACAAAGAAAGGTGGTGTTGTTGGGACGAGTATGCAGGAATAACAACAATAAAGAAGTGCATTTTTCTTTCTTTTATTGAAAATAGTTTTTCTTCCATACAATAATTCTGATCACAGTTTCCCCTCCCTGTTTTCCTCTCAGACCTCCTCTCTTCCCAACTGGTCCCACTCCATGCATACTTTCTCTCGCTTTAGAAAACAGGCAAATGAAAAGAAACTAACAGCAGAATAGAGCACAACAAAGAGAAGAAAAAGAAACAGAGGAAAATGCACAATAAGTTCATGCACACTCAAAGACATACACACAAGAATCCCATAAAAACACAAAGTCAGAAAACATAATATACAAGCAAAAGACCAGTGAGGGTTTTTTTAAGACAAAAAAACAAGTGCCCAAACAAAGAATTACAAGATAAAACATCTCCGAAAATACTATTGAGCTCATTTTGTGTTGACTACAGGACCTGGGGCCAGACCTTAAGTGTGGTTTGTATAACCAATGAGACCCTGTTGGAGAAAGCTATTTTTTTTTTTTTTTGGTGAGGGGTTGTCAATTGGATTGAGTTTAAAGATCATATGGAAATACGGACCTAGTGAGGTAGAGTTGGAACAGGAAGATGGTACAGAAAAAAGAATGAAAGGGATAATGTCTAAAACTCAAAATTCCACCTCAAGCCATCTAATGTGAGTTATGCCTGTTCCTTGATCATTTTCTTACACTAAACTATGAATTCACAAATTTATCTGATATCAGGACTTCCTTGAACAAAGGGACAGTAAAGCAGTTTGATAGTTTCATCAATATGGAATCTACTGGCTCTATGGGAGACTAGGAAGGTGGGACCCCTCCCCACAATACCTGTGATGAGCTATTTCTTACACAGAGGCACTGGCTGCTTTGTGAGGATACTCCTCTAAAGGGAAGCTTCTCCCAACAAATTCTATCTCAAGCAAAGTGACAATGTGCAGGTGATCCCAGCTGTCTGTGGATTCAGCAGTATCCTATTTATTGATAGGAATATTTATACCCTTGCTGATTGGTTGTATAGCTTGGCTGGGATGCTGAGAACATCACCTACTGTTTTTTAAAGCTCAGCATTCTTAGGGCTATTTAAAGAACCCCCCCCCATCACCACCACTTTGGACCAAAGCTAAAAGCAATTCTACAGAAACACTCTCTCACATCCCCCTAAATAATTACTGCTGACCTAAAGGCAATTCTGCAGAGAGATGTGTATTAATATTATATAGCTCCCTTTCAACAAAGTTTTGTAAAATTATAATCATTCTTCAGTTGAACTCATGTGCCATCCCTATAGCTTGTTATAATTTATTATTACTAGTTGTTTATTACTAACTTATTACCATTCATATTAAATCAAAGAGATGCTGTTTTTATCCTCATTCTGGGGACAAGGTTTGGAAGTGAAGGCAACACACCAACATGCACATCTCTAGGCACTGTTGAGGTCAGCGATGCAAATCTACCCCTACAACCTTGTCACAGTTGAATAATATTTATCGTGTGGCCATTTTATGCCAGGTACTCACTTAGTGGAAGATTCAGTCCAGGGTTAGGCCAAAGAGAAGTCCAGTCAGGCACTTATCGGGTGACCTTAACTGTAGTGGTCCAACCTACACCAGGACAAAAGAGTCGGTTTTATACCAAGAGACCAGTATGAAAACCAAGAGTGCTATTGCACTCTCCCCTACTGGTGCCCCTGTAGTACACAATCCAGACACTCTCCGGTGATTTGCAGACCATGACATAGATAACAGGAAAAACTCACAAATTCCTTGAAGAAGATTTGATGATAAATCTGTTTTGCTGGGAAAAGGGTATGTAGAAATTGATTTCAGGAACAAGTTTATGGTGGGTGCAGATAAACTTTGGCTAATGCTAAGTATCAGAAATGGAAGTTTTATCTCTTTATGAAGTCCCCTGGGTGCTGTGTTAGAGCAAATTAATGAGTGCATGCTCTGCTTTTCAACTATTTCAAATGTCCCTGAGTAATACTGCTATTAACAGGTAATGCCATGTTTTACCTGGAGCACACCCAGATAAGGAATATTAAAGGTCTGTACCATCTGAAAACTCTGGAAGTGTGTGCTCGCTCTCTTTCCAAAAGGCAGTCAGAGCAACTCTCCACAAATACATCTCTAATTATTTTTAAGGATACAGCTGTAAGGTCAAGACTTTAACCATTTCTCTAATACAGTTATGGGTTTCAGGTCGACCTGTGTTTTCAGGATGGTGTAAAAAGGTGAGGGGATAGGAGTGCAAGGGAGGTTGTTTTATTAAATTATACACACTGAAATCTATATCTATATTTTGCAGAAGTGTTCTGCTTAAAAGCAAAATATTAAAGGTTAGGGATCATGACTTCAGTTATTATCCAAAAATTGTGCTATTTAGCTGGTGGTTAAACCTATTTATTTATTTAAGATTGTATATGAGGTCTTCAATGGAAATGGGACCTCCTACTCATTCTCCGTTTCCACATGAGTAAATATGTTAAACTGAAGATACAATCAAAATTCTGAAGATACATGCAAAACTCCTCTTACCAAGATAAATACACTCAATGCATTCTATTCTGGGCAATGCCTGCCAACTTTGCCAAGAGGGAGATTTGGTAAGATATCACTTTAAAAGATGGCAAGAAGTGATTCTTTGAGTAAGGAATCCCAGTTGCTCTGGGTAGGAGTCTGGAAGAAAAGAGAAGCATCGATACTTTTTTCTTTTCCTGTGTAAGTAGGCAATTCTTAGCTGATAAATTAAAGTAGATGGTTTGTGTGAGACATGGGGAAATAATGAAGACATTGCATGAAAACCTCACAACCAAGTTAACAAGAAACTACATCCCACATGTCCTACACTAGAATTTAATATACAGGGTGATTTGGTCCTCGAAAAGTCGCTTATTTAAAATTTATTTTTTTAATGTTTTCAAACCCTGACAAGGGCAAAGAGAACACTCTCTACCTTGTCACATTATGTTGTAGTATAAGGGTTGATGGTTTAATTTAAATTGTTATAGAAGCGATGGCCACCAAGGTATGTCAGACTGTGTCTTTAGAAAGTAATTACTGCTTTGATACTTTATAAGACATATGATAGCGCCCAAATGCATCACATTTGTCCTAGGGTTCCTGGAAAGACAAAAACAAACAATGAAAAAACCCACCATATGTAACTGAACAAAATGAATCCAGACCAAACGGAAGAGAGGTCAGCCCCTTAGCCTATTGTGAGAAGTTAAGTATTTCTAGGTGGCTTGTACCATATTCAGCTAAGATACCTTTGTACGTGTGTACTTCCAAAGATTTCTTCCAAATTTTGGAAGAAGCTTTAAAACATCTCCTTGGCCAGGTGGTGGTGGGGGCACACCTTTAGTCCCAGCACTTGGGAGGCAGAGGCAGGAGGATCACTGTGAGTTCAAGGCCATCCAGAATTATTACACAGAGAAACCTTGTCTTAGTGGGGGAAAAAACCCAACTCCCTGAGTTCGATGCTGTTTGATCTCAAGGGACCAAATTCCAGTCAAGCACAGGGAGCTTATGTTACAACAGGCACAATAAATAACAAAAATCAAGCAAGATCAGGAGGGGGAAGAGTCTTGAATCTCTATGCTCCTCAATAGCTTAAGTAATTATTCATAGATTTCAACGAAAGGCATCCTAGTGTTTGAATCCATCAGTAATTTATCTGGTTAGCTTCTTCCTTCTGAATCAATGGTACCCTCAAGTCTCTGTCAGTTACTGATCTAGTTACAGTAGCCAAGGTCATGGGAGACCTAGAACCACCCTTCCTGAGTAGGGATGGAACAGGGTAAATTTAGGTCAAAGCAGTGTACAGTTGAGAACAAGTTTAGAGTATGACCCTCACAACAATTATTCATTATTCTTAGCTGTGGCCTCAATTTCAGTCCTGTCACTTAATCATCATCAGCATGACTACGGGGATTGAAAGAAGACTGAATAGGCAGAGGTAAGTCGTTCTTTTAGAGGAGGACAAACTGTAATTCATAACCCCTGAGGTGCTGGCAGTCACCATTAGTGCCATGCTGATCTACAATAGGTCAAACGAAAGGAAAGGACTGGTTTGCTTCAACTGTGGAGTGCCCCTGGCACAGGTTGACTTAGCACACACTAAAGACCGCAGCAGACTGCTTTTAATTACATAGTTGAGCAGGTCACAGCATACATAGTTAAAAGAGTGGATCTGAGATGATGATTGGGGCGGCGTATCGTTCACATTTTAAAAATTATGTCTGAAAGAGATTTGAAACCAAACTGGTAGATTTGGTTCAGGGCAGAACCCCATTGCTCACCACCTGTGAGGCTTTGCTCAAATTACATAAGTTTTTGAGCCTCAGTTCCTGTATTGTTAAAATGGAGGCATCAGTTGAGAAAATGAATGGAGGAGTTAGCACAGTGTGGAGAGCAAGTAAAGTAAAAGTGTTGTTGACAGGGCATGGCTATGTCAAGGACCTCAATGCCTCAGCTCCATAGGGGTTACAAAGCTTTCCCTGGTGAAGCTCAGAGGGACACAAAGCCCTCCCCTGACAAGCTCTGACAGTATGAGCAGAAAATGTCCACCTAACATTCTTCCCCAAGAATGCTCCTACCAAGACTTGCTAAACCCACCTCCTGCTTCAGCTGAATAGAATTCCCCTGCCTCTGTATATAGCTGTGGTAATTACCCTGCTTCCTTGTTCGGCTACTTGCAATAATCCCCCCTCCCTTTTCATCTGTATATAACGAACACACTGAGCTTCTCCCTCTGAAAGCACACAGCACCCAACCCAAGCTTCTGTGTCTGTCATTTCTTCATTCCCTCTTCAGCCCATTACATCAATCCCTGGAGCCATGCAAGGACATGGCAGCACAGTGCTTCACATATGAATACCCTTATCGAGACATGTCTCCATGCTTTTTATGAATGCCAGTCACTGCCCCATGAATTAATCTCCCTTGAATCAGACAACAGTTTGATGAACATACAGCAATTAGTGAAATAGTTAAGATAGAATATTATGATTTCTTCACCCAAGATGAGCTAATTAATAGCTA